CTCATTTTGCTCAAGAAGAGTAGAATGAGCCTTTTCAAGCTTCTTGTGAGCCTTGCCAAGCTTCTCATGGGCTTCCTCTAGCCTCTTATGAGATGCATTGAGCTTATCAAAGGCTTCCTTAAGGGCTTTTAGTTCCTTACGCAAGTCTTTGCATTCCCTTCTCTTAATGTCAAAATGAGCCTTAGCATCTTATAACATGTCAAATAATTCATCTTTAGTTGGTTCATCATCATCTTCACTATCACATTCATTTTCACCATTGTTTTCATCACACTCATCATCGGATTATACCTTAGCGGCCTTAGCCATGAAGTATGTCAATGGAGTGTCGAAGAGAGAATGCTTCTCATTGATAACAATGCTTGCAAGAGCCTTATTCTTGGTGGTCTTGTCATCGTCGCTATCATCATCATCATCACTTGAGGAAGCATCACTATCCCAAGTGACCACATATGAACCACCCTTCTTCTTCTTCTTAAAGGTCATCTTATCTTTCTTTTCCTTCTTCTTCTTGTTCTTCTTCTTGCTCTTCTTGTCATCATCATCATTTTCACTATTGTAGGGGCATTGAGCAACAAGATGATCTTTGCTACCACACTTGAAGCACCTTCTTGATTCATCCTTGTTTCTTGATGATGACTTCTTCCTTTTAGCACGATAGCCCTTCTTTACCATGAATTTGTCAAATCTCTTCACAAAGAGAGCCATCTTCTCATTATCTTCATCATCAAAACTAGAGCATTCATCTTCACTTGATGTGTCTTGCTTGGCCTTGCCCTTACTCTTGGATGATGATGCAGCTTTGAATGCCACACTCTTCTTCTCATCTTTCTTCTCATTGTTCTTTTTTTCCTTCTCTTCATCATCTCTGTATGTTCCATCGGTCATCACATCTCCCAATACTTGGTTTGGTGTCATTGTGTCCAAACCACTCCTCACTAGTATAGTGACCAACATACCAAATCTTGATGGTAAGCATCACAAGAACTTATGAGAGAGGTCATTGTCCTTCACTTCTTCACCAAGTGCCTTGAGGTCATTGACAAGCTATTGTAGCCTATGAAACATCTCCGGCACACTTTCATCATCCTTCATCTTGAAACTAGCGAACTTCTCCTTGAGAATGTATGCCTTTGCACCCTTCACCGCTTGAGTGCCCTCAAATGATTCATCCAACTTCCTTCAAGCCTCATGAGCCATCTCAATGTTCTTAATTTGCTCAAATGTCTTCTCATCAATAACATCATGAATGGCACTAAGAGCAATGTTATTATTTTGGAGCAACACATCTTCGACCGTGGTGGGATTCTCTGGATTGGCAACCTCAATCTTGGTCTAAACTACCTTCCACACTTTTTTATTGATTGACTTGATATAGGTGGTCATCTTTCCTTCCAATATAGATAATTTGTGCCATCAAATTAGGGTGGCTTCTTGGTGTTGTTGTTTTGAGCCATTTTGCCACCGTAGGTTGTTAAGCCTTAAATCACGGTGACCACAGCTCCGATACTACTTGAAAGGTCCTAAATAGCTAGAGGGGGGATAAATAGCCTATAAAAAATTCTACAACAACACTTAAGCCAAGTGGTTAGATAATTAAACGACGAAGCGAGTGTTGCGCTAGCCTATTAAAAAGCAAGCCACCTATACACAATTCTAGTTGATATGATCACTATATCACACAAAAGGCTAAGTCACTACTCTCTAAGTTAGTGAGCTCTCAAAGACTAACTAAAGAGCCTCACTAACCAAACTACTTGACACAAACTAGCTCTCAAAGTAATTACACTAAAGAGCTTAGCTACACTAGAATGTAAATACACAAGAGAGATAGCGAGGTTATACCTCCATAGCAAGTGTCAATCAATCAATCACAAGAATACCAATGAAGTCCTCGGAGACAAGATGACACAATGATTTTTCACCGAGGTTCACTTGCTTGCCAGCAAGCTAGTCTCCATTATGGTGATTCACTCACTTGTAGGTTCACGCGCTAATAGGCATCACACGCCTAACTAGCAATCGGGTGCCGCACAACCAACACAAGATGAGGATCACACAAGCCACGGGTAATCCACTAAAGTACCTTTTGGCTCTCCGCTGGAGAAAGGTCAAGAACCCCTCACAATCACCACGATCGGAGCTGGATACAAGCACCTTCCTCCGCTCGACCATCCTCACTGCACCAAGCCATCTAGGTGGCGGCAACCACCAAGAGTAATAAGCGAATCACGTAGCTAAACACAATCATCAAGTGCCTCTAGATGTAATCACTCAAAGCAATGAACTTGGATGCTCTCAAATCTCACCAAATGATGAATCAATCAAGCAAGATGAGTGAGAGAGGAATGGGTAGGCTCACTAGGGTGTGTTCTCAATAGAAATAGCCAAGGGAGTGAGCCCAAGCTAGTTACTATGGTTATATAGGGGGCCAAATGAAATAGAGCCGTTACCCCCTCGCTGCACTGAAACACGGGGTGACCGGACGCGCCGGTCGCCACCCAGCGTCCGGTCGCTAGAAGCGCGCCACTTGTCCATGCTTTAAACCTACGACGCCCGATCTCAACGGTCAAGTGACTCAACGCCAACAACTAAGTGAAGACCGGACGTGCCGAGTCGAGACCGGACGCAGCGCCCCTGCGTCCGCTTGCATGCGCCCGAGCACCCAACACGCCAAAACCAGACGCGACTCTCCGCCACCTGACGCTGCGCCATCGTGGAGTCAAGTCAACTCTAGAAAGCATGCAGAGAGGGATTTCGATGGCCGGATGCGCCGCGGAGTCTGGTCCTCTCTGGCCTCGCGCACCAGCCCATGTCAGCGTACATCAACAACGACTGGACGCACCCCCTGCGTGTCTGATCGCTTCAGCCGCACAGGGTCTGGTCACAAGACTGAGACCGTGCCCTTCTGCACTGCTGACCGGACGCGCACGTCCAGCGTCCGGTCCTGCGTCCGATCGCAGGAAACAACGCCTCCTCAACTCCAACTTCTTGACCCTTGCTCAAATGTGCTAACCACCAAGTGTATCACCTTGTGCATGTGTGTTAGCAACTTTTCACAAATATTTTCAAGGGTGTTAGCACTCACTAGAATCTAAATGCATATGCAATGAATTAGAACATCTAGTTGCACTTTGATAAGCGTATTTCACGTTGAGTTTCACCCCTTTTAATAGTACGGCTATCGATCCTAAACGTGATCACACTTACTAAGTGTCTTGATCACCAAAATAAAATGTCCCTATCAAATATACCTTTGCCTTTAGCCCATTTTTTTTCTCTTTCTTCTTTTTCAAGTTTGGAGCTTGGTCACCATCACATGTCCATCACCATCATCATGGACTTCATCTTTGCTCCACCACTTGGATTGGACCATCCTATCTAGTCTCACTTATACAAGGATTAGTCCAAATGGGTTTCATCAATTATCCAAAACTAAACTAGAGCTTTCACACATGAAAACCTTAATTCTATGTGGAATCTTGGCTTTCTAGGGATGATCAAATGGCCTGCATGAATCAGAGCGGGTCAAATGACCATAAACATATTTAATAGAGAAAATTTGTATTTGGTTCATCTCCATGAAACACTAATCTTCCTCATCAAGTAAGTTCAAGGTACCCACCAAATTTTGGACCTAATTACCTTGCTTCCTCAACATATCTGGCAGCAACCTTCTAAAATTAAGTTGTCCTTCATTATCCCAATAATCTTTTACATTTATTTCCTTATCATCACAAAGTTCAAAAGGGGGCACATGGCAAACAAAGGTGTATCAGCTATCCATCACTACCAAAATGGTGGACTTCTAGTGTTTTTAAGTAGTAGTAAAACACTACCACTAGCCATAGCACATGGCTATCTCACTAGGAGGTATTTAGTAGAAAAAATTTATACTAAATTTTGAATGCTAAAACGCTAGGAGAAGCCCACCTCACTAGGGAAAGTCTAAATTTTGGTTGTGCATATTCCATAGATAAGTCCATAACAAGGTCTATCTAATATATTGACTGATAAACCTTGTTCTCTCAATATGGCACACACCTCTCGACTTTAGTTTAGATGTGATTGGTCTCACCAACACTTATTTGAAGTACATTGTACATCAAGTGTCTCTAGGAAAATTGCAGAACTATCTCTGTCCCCCAAAAAATATCATCTTAGGTTTGGAGTAAGTCAAACTTTCTTAAGTTTAACCGGGTTTATAGAAAATAATATGGACATTTGTATCTTTAAATAGGTTTATTATGAAAAATATGTTTTGTTATTTATATATTGATACTTATTATACATATAAATATTAATATTTTTTAAATATTTGATCAAAATTAAGACTGATTGACTCCTCGAAAATTAAGAACCATATTTTTTTTGGACTTGGAAAGTATGTTTTAATTTGGGCTTGTGCAGTCATTGTCTACCGAATGAAACCACCAAATGATTGCTATTTCAGAGCGGTGGTTGCCTTTGGGACCTGGTATATGATAGGAGTGGGCACATGGACAATGTATGATGTTCTTCTGTGAACCCCACCCATAATTTAATCTTGCGTAAATATTGTTAACCTCTCTATTTTACTACCACTGATGGCTCCCCGCCTCCCCTTAACACTCATGTGAAGCTCCACCTCTGAATCTAGCTAGCACCGTGCTCGTCATGTGTTGTGGCGCGGTGCCCTCTTCTAATATTTACAGTTCTGAATTACTTTTGGATAGAGACTGGTATTTGTTTCTGCTGTTCTTGGACCCAAATCAGAACCTGTTGCAACAATTGTTTCTCTGTGTTGCACCCAACTGTGTTGGATGGGAAGCTACAACGTTCCATCGCAAAGGAGACAACTGTGTGTAAACTGCAAGGTGATATTGGTGGTCTCAACTCAAAATATCCATCGGTAGCCAGATACTAGTATGGATAAGATAACGATCGATAGCGACTTATATTGGTAAATAAAGGTTCGGATGGACATTATTTGAGCAAGCTATAATAGGAATTGAATACAATCATGACGCCATGGCTCCGACGACCTTGTCCTTGTCCACTCCACAGTAGACCTTTAGCGGATCGCTGAATTTGAGCCCTTCCTCCGAGTAACGCCACTTGGAGTACTCCTCGTGGCGCAGCGGGTTGTACACCAGCGGGTGCTCCGCGTCGACGAGGTCCTCCAGCGCGCGCACCGCGACGCCGTCCTTCTGCCGGCGGCCGAACAGCACCGAGAACCGCTCGCGGTTGCTCGGCGTCCTCACGCGGTGGAGGCACGCCGGCACGCGCCCGTTTGTCACGACCTGCACGCACATACACACGCAACGGCGTGTGCAAGTGAGAATCAATGGCGCGAGAGGAATGACAATGAGGAATCAGCAATCGCGTGAGCAACTGAGAATCAATCTCGGATCGGATCGTACCCTGAACTGCTCGCCGGCGACGAAGGTGAAGGTGCCGGTTTCGGCAGCGACGGCGACCCAGCGCCCGTCCCCGGCGTGCACCTCGAGGCCTTCCACCTCGTGCTGCACGATCGCGGTCACCACGCTGTCGTCGCAGTGCGGTGGCATGGACATGCTGCTCTCCGTGTCCGGTGGCACGCCGTAGTGCGACAGCCGGATGCCGTGGCCGAGCAAGCCAAAGTGGGCGCCGATGCTGTCCGCCCGGGCGCCGAGGCCCTCTAGGACCAGCGTCTCCACCATCTCCTCCAGCATCATCATGTTCTTGGCGAACGACACGACCGTCTCACTGCGCGTGGCCGCCCGCAGGCGGACATCATCGTCGGTCGGTTAGAGCAATCGATCGAGCATCAAAGTTAAAGATGGCCAAGAAGGATGCATGTCTCACCACAACTCCGGGTTCCCCTCCGGCCAGAGGATCTCGGCGAAGCCGCGGACGCTGGCGGCGTCGGTGGGCTCCCCGACGCGGAGGCTCTCCCAGGCCATGCCGGGGAGCTGGCCGATGTAGCCTCTGAACTGCCCCTTGTCCGACACCGTCCGCTGCTTGACCTCGAGAGGGAGCGCGAAGAGCTCCGGCAGGGCACGGGAGAAGAGCGCCCGTCGGAGGTCCGTGTCGAGCGCGTCGTGCGCGACCACGACGCAGCCGTGCGCCACCATGGACGCGGTCACCGCGGCGCGGGCGGCCTCCCACCCAGCGCCCCCGGGCACCACCCCGCTGAGGTCAACCTTGGCGATCTCCATCTCCATGGCTCGCGCCTCTGCGCCTCGGCCGGATCCTGACTCTACTCGATCCGGCTTGTGTTTAAATCTTTGCTGTGCTTTGCGGCAGGTATAGTGGCTGCAGAAGTCAGCTGAGTAGGTGCGGCTAGTTCGTCATGTGACACCGCTAGCTGGCGCCATTTTTATATTCGGACGAGCAAATCGTGCTCGTCATTTACCTTGGGGCAGGACGGAGAACTTCTTTAGAAAAAATATTTGTGTCAACTCTTTCTTTTTTTTTTCTTCATTCAGAAGATGCAAACGGCAGTAACAGTAAGAAAACAAGTTTGGCATGTTTTAGAACCAGAAGATATACCCCGCGCGTTGCTGCGGTATTCTCTTTAAAAACTGTTACATATATGAGTTAAATCATCTATATATTTTTACGTCCATTGTTATCAAAATTGGTTGCATTAGGAGGTTGGAAGTTAGTGAGATGACATGGTTACCGGTGGGAGATGATGTACATAGTTAGTGGAAGATGATGTGGATGGGTTGCATGTTATGATAGAATTTGTAGTGGGGATTAGCTTGTCTTGGAGACTCTAGAAGCAGAAAAGACATAAGATGATTTAACACATATATCCAACAGTTAAGACGACGTGGATGAGATATGGATTGGTGGACGGCACTCAAGAAGCAGAAAAAGACGGGTGCAGTGGTCATCTGAGCTGAGATTTCTTGTCTTGGAGACTATCAAATCAAATGGTGTTCTGCGCTAGTTGCAACCAGGTTGACAAAGTGCTGAACTGATCACATTTGGCGAAGATTACCAAATTTGTTGTGATAGGTCATATAATCAAGAATATTTATAGTGTTGAATTAATATAAAGGTTGTCACCTTTCTCTTAAAAAAATAAACATATTGTACTTTATAACAATGCTTACATACACAAGATTATCTCTATATAAACGGAAGCACCAAGTAGTTCATAATGCGGTTCTGTTTGGAACCACTCGTCTAAAGATCGATTTCTACAGTGCGTGTGGATAGAAGAAACGTTTCAGTTTCTGGTGAGAACCTAGAGAATAACCTCCAAAAGGTATTTCCAGCAAGTGATTCAGAACGGAAATATTTCACCTGTTTTTACGTACGCAGGCGAAATGGCAGGGGGCCAGTTTTGCACATAGTCTCACCTCATTGCTTCCTACTTCTCTTTATTCTTTTTTTTTTCAATTAATCCTTTTTAATGCAACAAATTAAAATAGGTTATACTTAATTTGTTCTCCATCCAAAAAAGGTGTAGATCTTTTAAGCATATTTTTATTTATATGATTTTTTTGAAAAAAAGATTTTCTTATGAATTGGAATCTGGTCTTCTAGCCAAACAGTTTCATAAAGCGATTCTGATTCATCGTTCGAAACATTATTTGAGAGAATCTGAATCCGAAATGTTTCTACAAGAATCAGAAGCTCTACCATGGATATACAGTATGGAAAATCCGGGTATTTGGTAATCCTTATTATTGCTCATGATTGTAAAATAACTAGTTGTTCGAAGCCAAATTGGCATCCCATGCCAAATACATGCACCAAACGGTCCGATGTGTGTAGCCTAGTTTGAGCCCGAGTTGGATTCAATTCCTATGTTAGATATGGATCTATTTGGAGTTTATTTTGTGATGATTGCCGGAGACTTTCCACCCTATATAAATATAAAGGGCCACAACCAACTAAGGGTATCCAATCGATCAAAACAAAACCAATCTACTATTTTTCTTTTTCATGCCTTTTATCTCTTAACCCCACTTTTCCAACCTCATATGATGTTCTACAAGCATCTCAATGGTGTTTGTGGCGTTCTAGGTGGCCTTGCTGATCCTAGAATAACCCTAGATGCACCTCATTGATGGGCTCCTTTCTGGGAGGTGTAATTTGAGAGCACCGGATGGTCCAGTAGCTCTCACCTAACGGTCCGGTGTGCACGCTTTGTCGATATGCAACCTGCTACGAGTTCCAACACTATGTGGTGAATTGTTCGGTGTGTACAATTTCTTCACCATTAGACGGTCTGGTGCGCACGTTTTCACTGAGGGTTCATCGATCTATGATCCAAGCATTCTGGCGACGTGGTGGATTGTTCAGTGTGCACGTTTTTGTCATCACCAGAATGTTTGACTTGTTTTCATCGAGGGTTCCCTGATCCGCGATCCGCGCTATAACAACCCCAGCTCATTGGAAGCATGCAATAATTGTATTGTTGGCCCATGTGGCATGTGTGGTTGTGGTTGGTGGGTTTAGTACCACCTTCGAAGTTTAGTAGGGTGAGGGTCAACTTATAATCCTTGTCATTCTAAATGTATCACCTTTGGGTTTACCCTTTTATACTAAGCGAGGACAAAAGTGTAAGAGAGGTGCTACGTGTATGTACGCCCGTTCCACGTGAGGAGTTGGGCTATAGTATTCAGAGCACCAACCCTTGCTACATGTACTGGGCATATGCGGTGAGCTACCGAGGGCGTCAGCCATTAATGGGGGGAGGGGGTGTGGTGAATGTGTAACACCCCTGCCCAATAGAAGCCTATAATAGTTACCTTGGAAGTTTAAGAGGTGAGGCATGTTCTATGTGAGGAGTTGGGCCATATAAGCAGGTTTTGGACGCGAGGTGTTACACACACGTTCTAGCATTGTGGTGGGTGGTCATTTTTTGCGCTAAAATACCTTTTGGTGACTCTGCAGGGGACAAAGGTGTTTTATATTCGATGGCCAAAATCATCTCAAGCAATATATTGTCCCATGAAAAAATTACCTGAAAAAACTAGAGGAGTACATGCAAGAATTTATGCAAGCAACCTAGAGATTATATCTGTCCTGTTTTCATGAAATTGAGCAAGGCGTCGTTGATGTAAAGGAGTGGTAGAAACCTAGCAGAATTGACATGTAAAGGGAGATACAATCTTCAGATACTCTATGCGGTCCTTTATCCAATCTCGTCAATACTATGTTTAATGCATAAGATAAGATAATTGGTAAAAAGGATAGTATAGATCTAGTTCCTAATATATCCAATATTCGGCCATTGAAAATAGTAATTCTAAATCAGCAAATGAGCCGACTATTGCTAATAATGCCAAACTACTTACCGTTGAACCCTGTGAAAATAGGCCAGCTAATGATGTTTCTGGCCAAGATAGCGAAATCATACCGGTCAACTCAAGCCTAATTTAATGAAATCAAATCCACATGTGTTAGTAAGGATGAACCAGAGCCTTCCGAAGAGAAAATAGATCCTACACCTAGTACTTCCACACTCGGGGGAGGGGGGCAACAAAGAGATGATCACCTGATCTATTAGATTCAAATCGGTCTATTAAAGCAAAGCTAAAGACGTTAGAACAAAAAAAGCCTAAAGGCTTTACAAGCAAGCATCAAAACAAAGAGGCTACGATTGTTGTTTGGAAAACCATCAAAACTAAAGGGCATAACAAGCATCAAAACAAAAAGGCGCAGACCTTAATTTAGTTAAATAAATAAATAACAAGATATTTTGTCACATTTATTATAATCTCACATTAGTTTGTAAGTGAGAGTTTTCTTATTTATCAAAATATAAAAATATATTTCTCATGTTACCTCTTACTCCCATTCTAAATTGTAAGTCATTTTGGCTTTTGTAGATATATAGTTTTTGGTATGCACCTAGATATACATTATGTTTAGATATATAGTAAAAATATGAATCTAAAGAAGTCAAAACATCTTACAATTTGGAACGCAGAATATAAGATAATACTATATATGATAATAGTCATCTATATCTAACCTAAATGGATGTCTCATGTTGACAACAAAAAAGGTCAGAGGAGCTTAAATTTGTATGAGTGGTTGAGATATGCCTGTATCGGAAGTTCTAACCTACGAGGCTCCGTGGTCTTGGAAGTTAGGCGTTGAAACTTCCGATGTGGGAGTGGGGCATTGGAACTACCAATGTTTGTTGGAACTTCCTACCTTGTCCGAATTTAGTTGTTTTCAGATCTGATCTGAACTCCTCCGATCTTGTGGGAAACTTAAAATTGCGTCTTGGAAAGGTTTTCTACTAGAATAAGACCACCTGCTCTCTCTCTATATTGGAGGATCATGGCTAATTGAGGTATCCAATATACAATCGATCTTTTATCAATTTATCTTTACTATTACCTCCAAACCCTATCCCTTCCATGTGTAGGTGAAACTTTTTAATTTGAAATCTTTAGGGACAATATTCAGTATAAGATTACATAATGTTGATACAAAAGATACCTATTCTATATAATGAATAATGTGTCTGTAATCCATTGTTACATGTGTTGAAGGTCTTGGCTTGAACAGAGGCAAGCATGGCGGGCATCTAAACATGTCTGCCTTTGTTAATCGATTTGACAGTGACCATTTGGCGGGGACAGCCGTATTGCCCGCCTCTGAAAATAGATTTTGACAGCCTCTGAAGTGACCATTTGCTAGAAGCGGTTGCACTACTATTCATTCTATTTGTGACTTGAAGTACATCATTGGCGCACGGGGAGGCCGGATTCGGCCTAGGCGCAAGTGGATTTGGTGACAATGGCGCATGGGGAGGTCGGATCTGGCCGCGGCATGGGCGGATCCGGCGACGGTGGTGCACAAGGAGGCCGGATCCGGCCTCGGCGCGGGCAGATCCGGTTAGGTGTGCGGCGCGGATCTCCTCCGACGGCGGCGGGCTCCACCACAGCGGCCACATGTGTTGGCGGACCGAGCTCCCCTTCGCGGATCGAGCTCCCCTGTGGCAGATCGAGCTCCCCTACGGTGGCGGCGCGCAGCACAGATCTAGGCCTAGGCCCAATTCGGGCTGTGGGTTTTGTCCTTTTTTTGTTTTTTTAATTTATTTTTGAAGGCGGGCAAAGCAATCGCCTCTATTAATCCACATTAATCGTGACCTTTGATTGGAGGCGGTTGCAATGCCCGCCTTCATTAATTAATTTGGCCCGCCTCCATTAATCTTTGTGTAGTAGTGTGCCATCTACGACTCTCT